ATTGGTCAAATCCATTTAATATTCTGTGAACCCAGGAAAATAAATCTTATTAATTGTATTTCTTTCTTGGCTAATATCAACTGGGAAAGAAATTTTGACCATACAAATTGGCAAAAAAAAMCCTGTTTTTTTACATAGCAATTATTGTAATTTGGATACAGAATGCTGAAAAATGGGACCATTGTTCAAAATAATCCCTCTTAATCAATGTTTTTGTTATTTTCTCCAATAATAAAATTCATTCTACTGAGAGTGGACCACCAATTTATTATTGCTAATTATAGGAATCCCAATCCTTTAGTCTATCAATTAAGAGTGGTTTAACACAGCCATGTTGTTGTGCAGGTGTTTAATTTTTGTATGACAAAAGATTAAGATTCCACTTTTGATCTGTATGTCAAGTAGCTTCTATTCTAAGCCTAGCTTTGACTAATGGTTTCGACTCTAAACTTGACCCTGCAATGCCGCTTCCAACATGTTTGAAAATGACATACAAATGACTTCCCATGACTTCCCCGCCGTTTGAACCAATCGAAAACCATGATGTTGTATCTCATGATCATATCGATATTCATCACACAGTTAGTGCTTTTAACTTACATATCCACAAGAGAAAAAGAGAAAATTGTATTCCCCTGCAACATGGTTGATTGAAATTACTCTGACCACATAGACTTAAGGAGCTGGGAGGCTATAGCCCCCCCCCCTCTCTATATATTTTCCAATCTGAGCCCACCCCCCCCCCCCAATTTTTAGGGTGGTCTGCAGTCCTTGCTATATAGATCCCATTCACCCCATCTCCCTAAGCCATTTTCCCTACCCTTAAATTAACATGGTTATAATCAAAAATCACAATAAAGATTTCATACTTTTATCTCTTTTCAATTCCTCCTTTAGAGCAGTGATGTCCCCAGTATGCACCAGTTCATGAATAATAGATGTCATTAGTTCTTGTGTTTGTTCAATGTGTTCATATCCAGCAACACCTAAAAGAAGAGAAATGATACATCAATAGTTGGATTATAGGGGGAGGAGTAGGGACTAAATTTCTCATCCACCCCTCCCCCCTACAAATAATGAGTGATCACATATGACCATTCATTTTTGTCACTGTGTGGCAATTAGAGAACATGATGCTTCATTGTCTAGCTTGGGGATACAATGATTTTTTTTGTGCATCATGCCTCATATAGCTAAGCTAAGCTAGGCTAGGCTAGAATGCATCATATTTATCATGCTCAGAAAAAGCTTACAATTAAGAATTAATGAAGCCCAATGGTATATTACCACTCGTTTAATTTATATTTTTGTCAAGCGTGATTTACTATTTTTGATAGTCATAGTTGATCTATGAACTGTGCATCTGACCCCTTTCTCCCAAAATGCCCTCTCACCCCCCCCCCCCCCCAAGTCTTAGCACTTCTTTGGTGTTAAACCAAGTTGCACAAAGCATGTACACTCATTTTCTATTCCTTACCAGGATCAAAGAATAAATGTTTTCATAGCTATGGTAAGCCACTACTTTAAAYGATATGTTGGTCTTAGAAAGAGCATAACAAGAAAATTAAGTTCTGATTAACGTAATTAAGCAGCACCATCAGGGATGAAAGGGTTTATTATTTTAGTGCGAAAACATTTGGATATTGTATGGGTACTAACGAGCAAGAAATTAGAAGGAAAATAGAATATGGCATACTAAAAGGAATCAAAAGGATATTTAGCCCCCTTTGCAAATGTTCTTTGTGTTGGTCCTTGCCTGCAAAGGTCTGCCTAAGGCATATTGAAAAAAGTGTGTAATGTGACTATATCAGGCTGTTAGAAGAAAAATATTGGGGATATGGGATAATGGTCACTCAATAATAAGACCATATATATTATTCAAAACATCCTCACTTTTTTCTTAATAAAATTTCGTTGCTAAAGTGAAATAAATTGGATGAACCCAAAACACATAATAATATATCCGGCAGGTCACGTGGCGGCTATCATACCGTGGAGTTTTGACGTATAAAGCGAGTATATTTGTTCATATACATTAACACTCTTTGCATACTGCTGTACATTATTACTTATATATTTGAATTTTTTGTTATAAGCAGATTAAATAGCAGTTGATGGTGTCTGACTGATTGATGATAAATAATTTAGTGAGAAGGAGGAAAAAGAAATAAAGACAAAGAAAAATAACAGCTGTACTTGGTTCACTTTTCGAGCAATAACGAAAAACCAAAACAAAAGATAAGTAAAAAGAAAATAAAAATCAGACGACTACCAATATATTAAAGATGTTCTTAAAGAATCATGCTCCCCGAAGCTAACTTATTATCAGTAATCTATTTTAATACGAATGAGGAAAAGTTTAATACAAAAATAAGCGATAACATTTCAAACGCTGTCGCGTTCGTTTCAGCGCTTTTTCGTACATTTATTTTCTTTAAATGTTGAAGGAATAAACATATAAACAGCGGAAAATAAAACGAAGCACGTTCTTTTAATCATATTCATTGGGCCAAGGCATCATAGACATCATACTGAGTGTTCTTATCTCTACATAAAAGAAACAGGACAAATGGAAGTAAATGCGAAGCGAAAAGACCTGAACTCACTCGTTATCCTCTTGGCATAATCTAAGACCCCATCACACAGCCGACAGACTACTTTTGGCTTTTATATATTCACTGACAAATTTCAAGGTCGATTACCGATGATAAAACTTTGAGGAATTAAGTAAATACAAAAGCAATGTGGGATGTTCGTCGCTTCAAAAGCAATGACACAAAAACATATCAAGGTCTATCGCCTAGCAATATTCTAATCAATAGATATTCGACTTTTGTACTTTACTATTATTATTATTACTTACTTCTCCTTGGACCTCGTCTGCCCGCTTGAGAACTTGGTCGTTCCATCTGGAATAATCAGAGTTAACTGATCAGTTGGTTTGTATAATATTTATATTCGGAAAATTAGACTTAATTTTATGTATCTATGGAAATAGCGCTCGCATTTTCCTGTTTACTTCCAGGGCATCTGCAGTTCTCGCTAGCTACTCCGATCTAAAATCTCAGCCGAGGTGCTAATGCTATCGGCCTTACTCGACAGCGTAAATTCTCGTCCGATTTTCTGTTTTTTATCGGTCATTGCATTTTTGTGTGTCAATCTCGAATTACCAAGGCTTCTGATTGGTTGAAATAGTGCGTTCTTTGTTCAGCAAAAGGCACCTGTCCTTCTCTGGATAGTATAATAAGTTACGAGGTTCCCACCATGTAAAAAATTGAATACATACAGCGCTAGTCAGCGCTAGAGCTATTTTGTTTTTCTAGTAACCGGAGTCAGAATTGCTCTTCGTTTATAACTATAGCTATAACCATTGAAAAAATAAATGGAAACGAAAAAAAAAAAAAAAAAAATGCACAAGCCAATTGATTGAAATCAATCGCTTGCTTGGCTTT